ATAAATCATATATAATATAGTTGTTGTTGGTTCTTTGCCTTCACGTCGCACATTAAAATCATTTAATGCACAGATGCAAAAGCCTCTAAATGCCATTTGAAATCTTCTTCTTTAATGATGATTTTTTTTTTCATGGAGTAAATATCCCTATATCAGAGTAGTATATTGACAAAATATAAGACATATTATACATTTAAAATATGTTTGAAATGATTGTATGTATATGTGTATATATATATATATATATATATATATATATATGAAGAGTTCAGATTGTATAAGCTTGTATATTTGAGTTCAGTGAGTTCACTTAAATGGCAATGATAATTACCTATTAATTGTTATTTAAGTGAAATTACTGAACTTAAATATACAAGCTTATACAATCTGAACTCTTCATATATATATATATATATATATATATATATATATATACACATATACATACAATCATTTCAAACATATTTTAAATGTATAATATGTCTTATATTTTGTCAATATACTACTCTGATATAGGGATATTTACTCCATGGGCACTTGGTATAAAAACCAATTAGTTTAGTTTACTCTTGTGGTTTAGTAAGAATAATTACCTTGATTCTTTAAGTACAGCCCTCCTTAATTTTCTTTTATGTTCGCTACTCAGGCACAAGATATAATGTATGTACAAAATAAACAAATAAATTATTCTATGCCGCTTGCAACTAAACTAAGTCAGGATAATTGTTTCCCATAAATCACTCGGGGAAAGTCAACAGTTAGGTTTTGCATGCTCAAGTAACACAAGTCAGACAAGCAGAGCATGTTAAACTGTGAAATTAGATTTTTTTTCCCTGTTTTTTTTTATTATTATTTTTTTTATTACAGTTGGAAACTTAAAAGGTTTCCAGATTTCTAGGTTTGGCTTTAGAATGTCACCATCAGGGAAAATGAGAATGTGAGAGACAGATACTGGCGTTTGGAGACCACCAGCAGAGCCACCGTATTTAAGCAAATCTTGCTTTCACATTACAAACATGTCATACGCCACTGAAATGAAATACCACATGGAAAGGTCAACTGTAATAAAGTATGCAGAAAAGATTTCTCATGCCTACAGTTGAACTACAAGAAATTACACTTCAACTGTACATATAACACTAAATATTACTGTCTTTATTCTTATTCTGAGATCATTTCTGCAGTCCTTCAAAAAATGTGTTTGGGTTCCTTAATGCTAAAATTTCCCTCAGGTGACACATTTGTTGTCCTGAAGTATCAGATTAATTGAGAGACAAACTATGATGTTTTTGTTTATTTTTTTCATAATGAGAAAATACTTAATAGTGTTTATCTCAGTAATGGATGTTTTCTCTGCAAATGCTCAACAAGTCAACTATTTGTATTAAATACGAGCTGGGAAACAGAATTGAAAGGCGTCTTTCAATTAGAATTTATTTAACTTAAATAATGAAATAAAATATGGAGCTTCAAAGTTTTTGCTTTTTTTACCAACTCTCTCTCTCTCTCTCTCTCTCTCTCTCTCTCTCTCTCTCTCTCTCTCTCTCTCTCTCTCTCTCTCTCTCTCTCTCTCTCCTTTATCCAAAGGGGGGAAAAATCACTCTTGGCAATATGCAAATAAGGCTGCAAGCTATTACGATGCTAATGAGATTCTCCAGCAAAACTAGCAGTTCTTCCTCGAGCACAGGGGTACATTTCATCCATATTCAGAAAACATTAGTGTGTGTGTGTGTGTGTGTGTGGAGTGGGGGGATAGTCATGTCCTAGGTCAAAATCACATTGCATCTACCTCAGTGTCCTGCAGTGAAGATCTTTAATTGTAAAGTATTACTCATGAACAAGATCACACCATTATTCATTATTAAATTCACTAAGTTCTGTTTGTGTTGAAAGACTAAGATGCTTTTTCATAGAGTAAATTGTTCTTGAGGCTTGATGGTGCTGTTGTTTAACATAATCTATTGTTATGTGTTTTGGAGCATTGGAAAATTAAGCGGAATGGATGCAAGATTGATAAATATAATTAAGTTACAAATTGAAAAATAATACATTGCAAGACTATGATCATTAAACACGAACAAAAAAAATGATTTCACATAAGAAAAACTGTAATGGTATAAACATACATTTTCAAAACAATAAATCTAGCTACTGTAGGAGATTTCTGGAGGTAAAGCAGTGTTTATGTATGTGAGTGTGTGTGTGTGTGTGTGTGTGTGTGTTTGGGTTCAAACCTGCCGAAAAGGCGGCATCCGCCACGCACCATGGTATGTTACCATAGTAACAGTAGGGAGCCTGGCGAAGGACTGTCTGTGTCCTGACCCATTTCAATTACCCCCAGAAGTCCTCTTCCTCTTTCACCTTACCACATCTCCCTCAACACCACTAACTCCACGATCAGGCTCTACTTCTAATTAATAAAATTAAACCTGAAATTAAAAGTAGATGGCAAATGAAAAAAAAAAAGACAAGTTTTTTATTTTATTTTTTTGGAGCTGCATAGCCTTTGGTCACACTGTACAAATGTGCTTTGGGCAAACAACCATTTTTTCTCAATTTTTTTACGTTTTTGAGATATTAAATAATGTAATTTTTAATTAAGAGTTTTATTATTAGATTTTCACTCCAACTTTCATAATTACCTATCTCTGTGCCTGGAGTGTTTGGAGTTAAACTTTCATTTGTCTAAGATGGTTAAGCCTCAGATACTTCCACAGAAAACACAATATAAGAATAATTCCTATAACGGCTAATTAGCATAAATTGAAAAATGGATTTCGAAAAGCATTTTTGGGCTCGACTTGAAAAGGCTCTAACGCTCAATGTGAAAATGTATGTATCAGCATCAGCATTAGAATAAATTAGCATAAAAATAAATAAGTCTGAATAACTCCTGCAACATCTGTAATGTAAAGTTTCAAAGCATATTTGTAAAGTGCAGTTTCTATTCACAACTGATGCAACTACACAAGAGAAGCCTCAGGTGTGGCCATTATTCTGATATATGGAGGTGCTATAAAAGTGCAATATTATTTTGGTTTTAAATTATAGAGGTTATTTTTGGAGCAATAATGTATTAGGATACTGTACCATACAGCATTAACAGAAGGGCAAAATCACATAGATGCAACACAAGCCTTACAATGTAGGATTAAGAGTTTTGATAGTAGTATTTACAGTGCATTTGTCTTATTCAAAATGGGTTAATATGTACATATGCGGTTCTTTAAACATTATATTTCTTTACTGAAGTCATTTAATTGTATATCCTCTTTAATCCAGATTTATATCACGTAGGTTCATGATATAGGTTCACAGGTTCACACACCTTTCATTATTTTACAGTATGCCGAATGCTTGAATTAAATCATAAAATATAAATTAAAAAATATCTATAATTAATTCATTATGGTTACATTTTATCCCCACGTTTTGAAATTTTGCAAGTTTGCTTAGAGCCCCATTACATTCTGGCCCTGGCATAAGGCCTTACGTGGCCTTAAAGTCACTATAATCAAAATAGACTATTCTTATTTTTATGGAATATTGCATAGCCTATTTATTATAAATGATTTATTCATGCACATCATTATTTTTATATTAAATTGTATGAGTCTTTGTAATCATTAATTAAAAATAACTTCCCGCTTTCTTGCAGCCAGATCTCTTCTCTTCTGTTCTCTTCTCTTCTCTTCTCTTCTCTTCTCTTCTCTTCTCTTCTCTTCTCTAATGACGTGTTTACTGGCTTGAGGGTGGGACAACCTGTCACTCACATGAGATCACAGCCATAGCAAAAAACAACCATAGATGCCCTATTGGCCGTTTTGGGCGTCCGACATTTTGCGGAGGGCAAGACTGCTCTATTTTAGCAATAACAAAGATAACTGATGGATCCTTTATCTATGGTATTATGATATGGTACAACTAGTGCAATGCAAATGGTACATATGGTGAGAAGTATAATAGCTAGTTTAGTCAATTATACAGCAAATAAAATAGTAATCAATAGTGTTCAATTCAAGTTTATTTGTATAGCGCTTTTCACAATACATATTGTTTCAAAGCAGCTTTACAGAAAGTGCATTACAGAAAAGTACATGGAAAAATACATTTAGTTAATCATGTAATATTAAGGGCAAAACATATCGCCGGCGTTGAGTCATCTCTTCACAGGCGTTTAGTCTTCTCATCGCAGGCGTTGGGGCATCTGAAGTCTCCATTACTACATCATGACCAAATACAACCAGAAACAAATGTTCAGTCTTGCTTGTGAAAGCACACGAAACAGACTTTTTTCTCCATTCTTGTTATGAGAAGTATGAGAAAGTTGCCCTCCGCAATATGGCGGCACCTTTGAAGTACGCTCCAGCGGCCAATGGGGCGTCTGTATTTATTATGTCTGTGAAGACAATGATCCAAAAATCCATTACATTTCCGATGGACAAAATCAAACATTGACCTCACTGATCTATAGAATTATTATACATATCAGTGATTGACCTAGCTTTTGTCTTCTTCAAGAAGCTGTTTCACTTGGAAATACGTCATAGTAGGGATGAAAATAGTACTATCGCAACTTCCGTGTTCACTTCAATGTATGTAGGGCCTAAGTTTACCACAGTAGGCTAAAAAAAAATGGAAAGTTAATCTGAAGGATAGGCCTATAATTCACAAATGATCATGTAGGCCTTGTACTTTATAGTTTTAAACTAAATGCTTAAAACCAACACACAATTGACAAAGTCTTACTAGTGAAGACTTCCCTGTGTGACAAGACAAGACAACTAGCCCCGGTGTGCACAACAACACTGATACGGTAATGTGAATGTTACTGAACACAAACATTACCATAAAGGCCAGTTGCTTTTTGGTGGGATGGTAAGACTTGCTTGAGCTCACCCTCAACAATGTTCCAGTGCAGCCTGCGGCTATCCAATGAGAGCCCAGCCCTCCTCCTCTGCTCGCCTCCTCTCCCGCCTCCTCCGCGCGCTCTCATCTCTCCGCTCCGCGTGCAGCCAGTGACTGCTGCTGCTGTCTCGCGGCGTTTGGAGATCCTGTACGCGCGCTGTATGGATGCTGAATCTTCGGCGCTGCTGTAAACGCGACGGAATCAACATGTCCAACCCTCCGCACGACCCGTTCTACTCGTCCCCTTTCGGACCGTTCTACCGGAGGCATTCACCGTACATGGTGCAGCCTGAGTACAGGATCTATGAGATGAACAAACGACTTCAGTCCCGGACAGAGGTGAGTTTGGCATCGCTCCACATGAGACAGTGACAGCTGTAGTTTGGGAAAAGTTATGCTGGCCAGTGCTTTTGCGAAATTATTCGCACTTTACCTGATTATACAAAACTAAGAGTGCGAACTAAGTGATGAAACTATAGCCTATGTTTTAGTTTTGCAATTGGTTGACTTTGTGATCACTGTAAGTTGCATGGTTGCACAAGGCTACTGTGCATTGTGATGAAATTGGTCCTTCATTTATTTTTTTATTAAATGCATTTTTATATACATTTTAAGAATATAATGGTGAACTTTTCTGAATTTACATCATTTAGGTGATGCGTACAGAAGCAACATCCACTTTGATCACTAATTAAAATCCGTGAAGGCAGTAAGTTAATGAACAGCGCACGAGCTCAGAGGAGTGATGCTCATCTATTAGAGCAACACAGCTGTTTTAAATAAATATTTTAAAATTAACTTTTACTTTAAAAACTATAAGTGTGGCTATAATAATAATCTGACTAATAATTTAAAGTATAAAGGAAAATGATTAAGTGTATAAAAGATCCCAAAAGCACTTTATGACAAATCAGAACCGTTTGGCGTGCAAAAGAAAATGAATAGTCCGACAAACTTTGCTGCAAAAGTGATATCAGCACTGGAACGAAAAGCATTATCTGATTTTAATATTTTAGATGCATTCAGAACTTAAATGTTTGCATGTTGTCATTCACACCCAACCTATAATTATAAATATATTGTTATAAATATCTATTTTTAAAACTTAAAAATCAAGGCAACATAATAGTCAATTTTAATTTATTGTTCACAAATTTAAAAATAAATGTCACATACATTCAGCCAATTAATTGTTGTCAAGGCAACTACAGATTTCTCATGCAGCACATTTCCCATTAACAACACAAAATATTTGAACCGTCATCACTTTATGACTCTTAACATCAAGGGAACTCTGCAATCTTTACCTCTAAAGAAGACATCAATTGAATTAGACGTAGATGCACGTAAACCTAATAAATAATGGTGATAACGGACAAGCAAAACGATTATAGTAACACCACACACACAAAAATGACAACAGTGACAACAAAAACACCACATAAATTTAGCAAACAATAAAAATAAATCTATAACGGTAAACACATTATTTATTAATTCAGCAGTGCATGCTGGGAACTCAATATGTTCCCAATAATTGTTCAATATGAAGTTGTATATTCTGACAAACTCTATTAGGCTAACATTTTTTTAACAACAGTTTAATGACAACAAATATGCACTTAAAACACTGCCAGCATTTTAGATCCTTTAATGCACTTTTAAAATAACAGTAAAACATCTGTAAATAATAGCTGTAAATATTTGTGCTGTGACACATGGACATGTCTGTAATGCTGATCCTAATGGGAAATAGTCCTGCTTTCTTCAAAGGTCCGCTGGTTATAATGCAAGTCTTGCGACCTCCTACCTCCGTATTCCACTTAACTGTCAAAAAACGAATAAATCTAATTATAGCATTTATCGCTATCACAATCAGTCTTGCCCATTTGTGATGTGATTAATTGAACAACTTTTGACAATTCCCTGGAATTTGCACTGGAGCCTATCGCTGTCGCCTCCGCTCATGTGTTTGTTGGAGGTGTTGTAACTTTAAGGCGACCTGGGCTGTATTGCAGAGATGCAATGGAACAACATCATGAATAATGCATAAGCAACGGCCCAAACCCTGTAGACTTCCACTCTGAAACGGCACTTACCAAAGAGCCTAATAAACATGTGCCAATATATCATTTTAATCTTCACAACCTCACTTTGACATAAAAGGGCATTTGCTAAGATTAAATCTTTGTGAGATCGATCTTGATAAGATATTTCATTGTGAGGGTAACAATGAGTTTAGTTGACAAATGTGATTTGTTTCTGGAAACTGTTGCAATCTATGCAGCACTCTCAGAAAAAAAGGTACGAAAGCTGTCACTGGGGCGGTACCTTTTCAAAAGGTACACTTTTGTACCTAAAGGGTGCATATTGGTACCTTCATGGTACATATTTGTACAATTATGGTACCAATATGCACCCTTTAGGTACAAAAGTGTACCTTGGGGTAAAAAGAGAGAAAGCCAAAGGAGAAATACAATTAAGAAAAAGAAAAATCACTTTTTTCATCAAAGGGTTAATAATGGAAATTAATAAACAGTGAAATTGAAATCAATAATTGACTCACTCAAATAATTGAATTGTATTGCATTGCACTTAAATAGACTTTGGATGAAATACTAGTCAGTTCATGATGCACACCACTTAGAGAGTACATCGTTCTTGACATATTTTGATCAAACATTCTGATGTCATGTTTGCTGTTTTATACCTGCAACATGTGCGTTTCATTGAGAATTCTGTTTAAGACTCAAATGAACAAACATCTCTGCTCTGCGCACACAAATCCATCTGACGGATGCTAGAGATGTTTGTAAAAGGTCTGATATCTTGTATCCTTCTTGCAAATTGTAGCTCGTATAGGTCTAGCGCCTTGCCACAGCGGAATAATAGCACAACGCTATTGCTAATATCTTTGCAAACAATGAGGGCAATATTTATTAACCAAGCACGCTGATGTGTATTTGAAGCCAGTGTTATTTGCACAGATTTTACAAGGGAGAGTTCCCCCACAGCCATCCATCATGTAGACATGCAGACTTTCTTAGTTTAAAAGCTCCAGGCAAACACTGAAACAACAGGGGGAGCGCAGCGCTGAAGTAGCCACTGTCAAACAAAGGTGTTTGATAATCACTTGGCTCTATATTTCTCTGCATCAGTCATTTAATGACTGTCCAATAAGACTAAATAATCTATATGTTAGTGCTTAACATTGGAATTAAGCTCCACGGTGCACGTCACATGACTGAAGTGAAAGTAGAATTGGACAAAAGCAGGAAAGAAGAACTCAGGAAAGCTAGACAAGAGGGCTCGAGAGTCCCGACTCTTGACTTGAGAGTTCTCAGTACAGAAGCTGGTGATTGATGTATTTTATTGTCCAAAGGCTGTTCAGCCCATGTGCTGGCAGCTAACTAACTTCAAAACAGTTAGTGTTGCGTTTTAAAGAGCACCAGAGAGTTTGTCGCGGAAGGCTTGTTAAATGGATGATAATGAATGAAAGGTGAAATTTGTAATATTTTGTTGAAATACTTTCTCCTAACCCATGCCTCACAGAGATGACAAGTAATTTATTGGCTTATTCTGTAAACAATGTGATTCTATGGTGCTATCTATTCTATTCAAGGCTATCTATTCAGTATGTTGGCTTGAAATATTCAACCAGTTAACAGTTGGTTTTACCCCTTTAAGTTGAACATTTCCGAACTCTCTTTACAAGTAGTTAGCATTAGTTACAGAACTTATTTGCTTATGGAAATTTTCAACGTCAACTTGTTCAAGAAAATCTATGCCTTTTTTTTTTTGATGGAAAGTGTTAAACCTTTGGATGTTTCCTCTAAAAACTGTTGGAACATTTAAGCAATACCATTGAACATAACTTTTTTTAACTATGAAAAATGTGTAAACTTAAATTGCAAAAATGAGCAGTAATTTCTAAAAGTCGCATGACTCATGGGTAGTCTAATAAAAGCGCCTTTATTTTACATGGAGTGGGTCGCCACTTGGGGGTGCAGTGTTGAGATCACATACAGCTCAATACTAGCAAAGACTGCATGGCCCTGTCTCAAATGGCACACTTACGCACTTTCGGTCTGGTGGACTTACAATGGCTGTTAAGTCCATTAGACCATAGGGTGTCCCATTTGTCATTTTAAATTTCAGAAGGGTGCTCGTGGGTGATGCACACTTTTGCCAAGCCCAAACTGAAGCGAGCTCTCTAGCAGACTTCTTCCTGACAGTCAAAGCGCTTTTACTTAAGTGAGGACTTAGGAAGTCTGCAAGTGTTTAGGGTGCCATTTAGGACAGTGCCTACTGTAGGACAGTGCCTTCCTTCTAAATAAAAGAGCCAATAGCCAATTGGTAAATTAATTACATCACCGTAGCCATTAGAAGCATGTCAGATTTTGTCGTTGATTTAAATGCATCAATGTAAATTGTATTTCCCCATTCAACTAGATAGGAGTTCTAGCATGCCCAAAATGCTTGCTGCCCAGTGGCATTAACTATTAATGGGAAGTCATATTCTTTTCTGCTAACTGGTTCTTTCAGACAGTTTGTTACAATAAACCTGTTAAAAATAACTTATTTACCAGTTTGTTTAAGTAATCACGCAATTCTATGATGAAATCACCTAATAATGATGCAGATGTTTAAATGTCTAAATCAAATAAACAAGTCATAATCAACTCACCTTTTTACATAAACCATGAGAAACCATAAAAAAAGCTTTAATTCACCTCAGCAGACAGCCCTTCCGATATGTCTGAAAGACTGTTCTCAGTTCAGTCCTACCCCTTTTCCACCAAAAAAGAACTGGTTCGGAACTGGTGCTGGTTCAAAGTTGGTTCGAAGTTGGTTCAACTTGCGAAACTTTTCAGAACCTGTTTGTTTTTCCACTTACTAGAGCGCCCAGGGAACAACGTTGTTACGTCACTGTTTACGTCGCCAAACGTCTTAGCTAGAAATGCTTGCTAGTACAACATTACTTTCGGATTATCTCTAACTTGTGTAGAAGGCTTTAAAAACAATTGAAATATGTAAGTCTTTTAATCAATTCCTTTGATATGTAATCTTTTCTGATTAGTTATGTACCCCTGTCTTGAGTCTTTTTTTCTTTCCATTTATTTGTTCTATATTGTGACTGTTTTCTTCTTTTCTTATTATGTTTTGAATAAAAAATTCATTAAAAATAGAAATGCTTGCGCCAACTTCAAGCATAACCATTACAAAGGCGGACCATCGGCTCCATCGTGTTTCTGCAAATGTTTCTCCTGGCTTTGTGATGGTCGGAAAAGATGTTTAGAACACATCTAAACCCGCCCCTGCCCCCGACGCAAGCATGA